TCCGCGTAGCCGGTTATTCGCGGATCCCTTCGGGGCCTCGGCAGCAGTCAGCGAACTTTTAACGCCGATACGCAAGTGCAACGGGCCGGTCAAACGAACGCTCCGATTAAATCTCCGCATATAAGCCATCGGCAACGACCTGATCCTCTGCTCGAGCGGGCTTACACCGCGCTCTTGCACAGAGGGTTAAAAATAATGCCGGGTATTTAACTTTAGCGCGTTGTTCATGCTCGATTACGCGCCGATATCCCATTTTTCCTCGTATCTTTGCAGTTAGTATTATTTCGCGAGTGGTGAGATAACCGACCTCGCGCAAAAAATAAACTGGATCGCGTCAAACAGCGCTCGTATCTGCGAGAGTAAAAATTGCAATGGAAAATGTACACACACACATATACACACACGTGATATCGATCTTTCTTTTTAGGATTTTTTTAGAATAGCCTCTGCTTTTACCACGTTCTCACTTCGAGGGTCGTCCTCGAAGCGTTTATTTCGAACGTGTAGCGCAATGAGTACGTTATGGTTACGAAGGCGTTGCTAGTTCTCTCTCTTTGCAGTGATATGAAAAATTTCCTCTTGCAAAAAACTAGAATCGCCCTATTTCATTTATTGCTTGCGCAGTTTGCGCAATTAACCGATAAAACTCTTTGGAGCAAGTTTCGGCTATATCTCATGCCTTCGCAGCCGTCTTGCCGGATTTAATTGTCCAAGTTTTAGAATTAGAAAAAAAAATGGCGATTAAGAAAGAGAATGAACGGAACACAACTCTATGAAGCAATCGCGAGATCTGCCGGAGAAGGAATATCGGGACTCGGAAGTGAGGGTAGTATATATCGCGCAGAAATGAATCTGTATAACGAGTCGGGAGTTGAAATAATTTGCATCTTACGGCGCCAAGTTTTAATTACTCAGAACGATCTTCGTCTAACAATCCCTCAAAGTCTCGAGTGTTGAAAATTGTTTTACGACTTACGGCGAAACGCGCGCTATCACATTTACCAGCTGCACCAAATTGGATATCACTGCTCCTTACTTAATTAACAGACTTAATAATTATTTAAATAGATTATTAAGCATAACAAGAAGAACGGCGACGCGTGTGAAAATTTTTACTTTGATATTTCAACATGGCGGACGCTCCGTTAAAAAAAAAAGAAAACATCAAAATACGCATAATTTATATGATGACGCGCCTGATACAGGACGAGAGAATCCGACGAGTTTATTCTACCGATAATTCAGCTTTGCAGCGGATTTTTCGTTTCGAATAATCCGCGCGCATTTGTTCAGGATGGCAGGATAATCTGTAAATTATCCGGCCGTTTCCAGTTTGGGGAGCGCAGTTACGATCGATGGGATTCGGGTATATCGTTACACGAGCGGTTTGGAGCGCCCGAACCACCAGTCGGAAACGTTTCCCGGTCATTAGGAAGAAATACAATAATCGCGCCCAATGATTCGATTGAAACTCTGATCGACGGTGTGCAGGCCGCGGGAGCGGGCCGCCGATGCATTTGCGGTTTCTCAAATTCGCCCCGCCGTAGGTTAATTACCCTAGGAATACTTAAGTGATCGAACAATCCCGCTGAAACCGGCACCGGGGATGATAATTGCCGCGGAACGGCACTCCGGATTTAACTCGAGCGATCAATCAAACCGGGCGCCTGGTTGCGCATCTGCGCGCGAGATCCCCGCAGTTTCGCCGTTTCCTTCGCGCTGACGCTCTCGTGTGTCTTTTCCCCTCGACTTCTCACTTGATGCTCTCGCGTTAATCGGCGCGAATTTCGCAAGCGCAGAAACGGCAGGATAAAAAATCACTCGAGAGCGCGCTCTCTCTCTCTCTCTCTTTCTCTCTTTTTCATTAGATGCTCGTGTATCTTTAATTTCTTCCGCGTCATCATATTGCTAAAGAACTAATGGAAGATGCACGAAATTATGGGTACTCGTGAGCGTCAACATCTGCATATATACGCCGCTGTGTGTCTACTCCGAACTATCAACAGCGCATGTATTAATTATAGGCGTGTTTGATATGGGAATTGCAAATGCGCCGACGTTACTGTGACGTGACTCCATCACCGCGATATCTTTACGACGTACGCAAGGCAACTCTGACGAGTGTCGAGCTTCAAATAAGTGCCGGGCGCTTGTTTGGTGCGCGCTGCGATTATCATCTTTATATTTGAATCCATACGGCATTTATTTCCCTCAATAAATAAGAGTTAACAAATCGCAGGTCGTGCATGGAAAATAATAATGGAACTGGTTTTGCCTTTTTTTTCATTTTTTATTCTTTCAAAGAGTGGTACAATCTCATTCATTTAGGAAAAAAGAATACGGAAGGAAGTTTCTTCTCTTGAAATAAAAGTCGTGCCATTGTGTAAGTAAACGGTTTAATTACGTGCGTTAAGTGAAGATCAAACATTTGCTTGTTAGAATTGTGCTTCGTGCATACGTATTTTCCGCTTATTTCGAACGCAAATTTGAGATTCGTCGATTATACAGAGCTGGGGATTTATCGGTACGAATAACTCGCGATCGTATTATTAAAATTATAATAAAATTTCTCCCACATCTCTCTCTCGCGTGGAGAATTGTCACTAATATTTCTATTAGTTTTTTATTGCACTGAATCATCTGTGTTAAAACTTTTACATTGCCTTAATTTAAAAAAATTTATAAAATTATATTCTTACATGAGAATGTATAGCCTGCCTGATGAGAAGATAGATTTGAAGATAGATTCGGTTTGCCGCCGTACGCGTTCCATATATCTCTCGTAGATAAGCCAATTAATCGATTGCATCGGATTAACGTGCGGTATCAAGTATTAAATCTCTTTCGCGTCAGTGTCAAGTGAGAGATAGTCGGTTAGATGTAATGACGAAATTATTGAGGAACATACGACAGGAATATTCGGATTAAACAGCATAGTTTGACTCTTTCGTTTATTTGCATCACATTCAACAATTAATTGCCATACACGATTTATTTCACAATCCTAGATACATTCCTAGAGAAATGTAATCTTATCCTAGAGAAACGGAATCTTCCAAATCCTGAAAGATTTTACTCTTACATTATGTGGTGTCAAGGGTGGAGATTCTTCTAGAGGAAAATATCCCAGGCGCAATATTGATAAAGTTAGAGCAATTTATTTCGTCTACAGTCCCGTTCTTAACAGAAATTTCTCTTGGTAAAAGAGCATTCTGCTTCAAGCAAATCTTAGCATATCTCTTGATTCAAGAGGTAATATCTAGTGGATTTCGCCACGTCGCGTTGTCTTTTAACGAACAAATGGATACAGTTGTTGATAGATCTTGCACAATGTTATTCGTGAAAAGAAACACGCCTGAGATCGAGGTCGGTTGAGAGAGATCTGTCTTACTTTCGGCAGCGGGGACTTTTTGGAAGATCCACAGACGCTGTTGTTTTCTCAAAACTTGGACTTGGCATAACCAACTCTGGTTGTTCCGAGCTGTCTCGACCATCTTCTCGCGTTGAGAGTGAATTGTTGGGGTTTGAGGAGAGTTCGCGGGTTTCTCATGAGCCCGACCGGCGGGTGCAAGTGAATTAATTTGCCCCGCTTAAAAGTTGCACGGCAACTTGAATGCGAATAAATCACTCGCACGAACATTTTCACGAGGTCTTTCTTTTTCTCTCTTTCCTTTTTTTTTCTCTTGTTCCTTGATGCGATACCAATAGACTCAATGGACCGATCGTAGTATCGTTAGAGAGAAATGCGCGCACACGTCTGCCGAATACAGAATTGCACATTCGTACTCGTAATGAAATCCGAAATAAATATGTACGTACAAATGAACGTTACGAATATCGCACGGAGTTCACCAAGTTGTGTAATTAATAACCAAGAGTGCGCAAAGTGACGCTGTAAATTGCGGAATTTCATTTCTATTATTAATGTTATTATCACCGCCGCTGTGATTATCACGATGGCACACTGCGTGTATCGCACTAATCACAATCGACTCGTACAATCGCGCGGTTCTGTAAGCTTCGGCCGAATCAAGTTCCCCGATCGCCATTAATTAACGAGGGCTTTTGACGTATCAAATTTTTCGAGCACCGTTAATTAAATTAACGACACGCCATTGTGCACGTCGAATTCGTGCGCGTGCGCCAGCTGAATTTACCGTATTACCAATTAATTGGCCTCCCGCGACAACTTCCCTCGGGATAAACAACCGGCGAATTCGCTGCGTATATTACGCGATATCTTCCGCTCACAATGCAAGCGCAAAGACGCAAATGAAACGCAAAAAGATGACTGAGCGTGCACCGCGGCGCCGGCTTTCCATTCGCCCATCTATCCGTCTACCCGTCTATTCTTCTGATATCTCCTCCCTCGGTCTCGCGTTGGAAGGTGGTCTCATCAGCCCTCTCGAAGCATCCATCCAGCGGCTCGCCGGGCTTTCAACGGATATTACAAACTTCACCTTTCATCCATTTTCCGCTTCGAACGAAGCGACGACGACAACCGCGAGCCGACGAGGGCCCGCACTCCAGCCGTTCTCGCCAGCCTACGTCATTATCCCGTTTTTTCGCGGAGAGGCTCAGACCTGATTCTTCCTGGCGTGCTCGGCTAACCAAACGTGATCGACCGTTAGTCGTGATCCCTTGTCATATTCACGGATTCTCGAGGGAACGAGGAGAAAGACAGAAAATACGAGAGAGAGAGGGGCACGAACGAGACGCGTCGAGAGGAGCCAACATCATTCGAGTAGTAGACCGATACACGTAAGAACACTTGGGCCACCGCAAACGAGGAGCAATTAAAATCTCTCGAGCTCGTTGTTTACGGAGCATCGGGATGTAATTAAGGAGCCAGCGTGCACGCGAGTGCAGGTGTGCAGCGTGCCGCGATAACGAAGCCGACTGGATCTTCACCTCACTCCAGCCACTCTCCCTCCCACCCTCCCTCTCTCTCTCTCTCTATCTCTCTATCTATCTCTCTATTTCTATCTTTATCTCTCTATCTCTATCTCTATCTCTATCTCTCTATCTCTATCTCTCTATCTCTATCTCTCTATCTCTATCTCTCTATCTCTTTCTATCGCTCTCACTTGATGGAGAGACGTCCGACGGATTGATCGACCACACCTAAGCTTTGGACAATCAGTTTTGCGCCAAAAAGATCAGCCACACCCGAGTCTCCTCTCCGACATTTGCAATAATGTTCACGTTCCTGATCGGCAGGGAACGATGTGTCTGCGTGACGTTTGCGGAAATGAAATCGGCGACTCTGAAGTGTCTGAAACAAAAGAACGACATGCATGAAATGCAATGCAGATGTTTATTGCGCGCGCGAAATATCGTAATTGCAGTTTTCGTCGAGCCGCCCTTGGCTTATTGTAACCCGAGCTATCGGGAAACCGCCCCGAGCCCCGTAAGATCCCCGTGCACAGTCCCGCTATTCGCGATAAACAGCCTCGTAATGGTTGCCCCCCCCCCCCCCCC